TGGTACAACAGTTGCAGTTTGGAAATTTTGAGCTCTTACATGTTCATTTTAATGGAAGTGGTAAAATATTTGGAAAAGTAAATATTTGGGGGAGTGTTATGGTTGATTAGGGATGTGTTGTGCTGTGCTTAGTCGCTCAGTTGGGTCCGACTCTTTGCGACCCCATGGACTGCAGCCCGCCAGGCTCCTCTGTCCATGGGGATTCTCCAGGCAAGAATACTGGAGTGGGCTGCCATGCCCTCCTCCAGGGGATCTTCCCAACCCAGGGATCGAACCCAGGTCTCCCACATTGCAGGTGAATTCTTTACCGTCTGAGCCCCCAGAGAAGCCCTAATTAGGGATATTCTAAGATAAATTTTAATACCTCTATTTATTATATTTTATATTACATTATATTTACATTATATTATATAGATACAATAAATATTTATTAAATTTGAAGTGCAATTGACTTATTATATTCCATAAGTTATTTCACTTAGCCTAACACCCTCAAGGTCCATCCAGGTTTTCGCAAACAGCAAGATTTCATTCTTTTGTGGGTGCATAATATTTCACTGTGTGTGTGTATATATATGTTACATCTTCTTTGTCCATTCATCTATTGACAGGTTGTTTCCATAGCTTGGCTGTTGTAAATAATGCTACAGTGAATATAAGAGTGCTTATATCTTTTCAAATTAGTGTTCTGTTTTCTTCAGAAAATGCCCCAGAAGTGAAGTTGCTGATCTCTATGATAGTTCTATTTTTAATTTTTTGAGGAACCACCATACTGTTTTCCATAGTGGCGGTAGCAATTTATATTTCCAGCAACAGTGCATGAGGGTTCCCTTTTCTTCACATCCTCACCAACGTCTGTTATTTGCTGTCCTTTTGATGACGACTATTATGACAGGTGAGTTTCCCTGATGGCCCAAACAGTAAAGAATTTGCCTGCGATGCAGGAGACCCAGGTTCAATCCCTGGGTCCAATCCCACTCCAGTACTCTTGCCTGGACAATCCCATGGACAGAGGAGCCCGGCAGGATACAGTCCACGGGGTCTCAAAGAGTCGTACACAGCTGAGCGACTTTCACTTTCATTATGACAGGTGTGAGGTGATGTTTTACTGTGATTTTGATTTGCATTTCCCTGATGATTAGTGATGTTTAGCATTTTTCATGTGGAGATTTTTTTATTATAAATCTATAGTCTTATTATCAAGTAGAGATTTTAATACTTTTAGATTTATACTATTAATTCAATAAATGGAAGAGAAGTGAAAGATACTATACAAAAGAAGAACTATGGCATAATTTCTTATAATAAAATAAAAATAAATATTAACTCCAAGAGAAAAATATAATATCTTAAAATAAATTATTATATTAAAATGCATTTGTTGAGGGCAAAATGAAAATAAATTAATTCTAAAGTCATTTAAATTTATAGAATCCTGACACTACTAAATGGTATTTGTAAAGATATATGGGAGCATATATTCTTGAGCTTCCCTTGTGGCTCAGCTGGTAAAGAATCCGCCTGCAATACAGGAGACCTGGGTTTGATCCCTGGGTTGGGAAGATCCTCTGGAGAAGGGAAAAGCTACACACTCACATATTCTGGCCTGGAGAATTCCATGCACTGTAGTCCATGGGGTTGCAAAGAGTTGAACACAACTGAGCAATTTTCGCTTTCCCTTTCACTTTCATGGGAGCATACATGAAATTAAACCAATGGATTAAATGATTTTTTGTGATTTAGAAATAAAAAATAATAGAAATATTGGGTATAGGGCTTCCCAGGTGGTTCAGGGGTAAAGAATCTGCCTCTCAATGTAGGAGATGCAGGTTTGATTCCTGATTCAGGAAGATCCCACGTGCCTCAGAGCAACTAAGCCCACACACCACAACTATTGAGCCTGTGCTCTAGAGCTGGGGAGCCACGACTTCGGAGCCCACATGCCTCAGCTACTGAGGCCTGAGTGCCCTAGAGCCTGTGCACTGCCTCAAGAGAAGTCACTGCAATGGGAAGCCTGTGCACTGCAACTAGAAAGTAGCCCGCACTCTCCACAGCGAGAGGAAAGCTCTTGCAAAAATAATCAGCACAGCCACAGACAAATAATTTTTTTTTAAATATTGGATATAGAAAAACTTCCAAACAGCATTATGAGGGCTGGAATACTTAAAATTTTTTCGTTGTTATTGTTCATCAGGAGTTGAAGATTTAACACCAGAAACAATTGATGTGAAGAGAAATTCTCAACTTGTTGAGATTACACACACAATGACCACCAGTTTGAAGGAATTCACTGGAAAAGTTCAAGGCAGTTTTCCATGTCAAATGACCCCAGAACGTCAGCCCTGTCTTGAAGGATTCCACACCAACCATTTCTAAACATCGACAAGATTTTGCAAATTATCGGAATAATTTTATTAAAGATTTTCTCAAAAATTTATATCACTCGTTGAGTAGCATAACTCGTTTATAGCATAACTTAGTTTATTTAGAGATAAACTAGGGATAGTGGAATATATTTCTAAATATTTGGTCCATGCTTTGAGTCATTTATTTATATTACCCTACTGGTTGTGACATATTTTTAATAATACCTCTGCATACTTCATAGAGGTTTCTTAAGGATTAAATGAGATGATCAGTGTAAAGCTCTTAGACAACAGAGAAGCCTAAGTTTACTGTTTATTTGACTATATTTATTTTTTTTAATGAGTACAATCTTATCTATTTGGCTGTGTTGGGTCTTAGTTACAGCGCTCAGGCCCTCTAGCTGTGGCACTCGGGCTCAGAAGTTGCAATGCATCGGCTTAGCAGCCCCAGAGGATGTGGGATCTCAATTCCCCGATCAGAGATGGAAATCTCGTCCCCTGCATTGCAATGAAAATTCTTAACCACTGGAGCACCAGGGAAGTCCCTGGGTTATATCTATTTTTATTAAGTTTATTGATATGATGAATTTTGGTGGACCATGACAGTGCAGATTCGTCATGATTTGGGCCCTATGGAACGTGTCAGGTCCATGAACTTTTTTCTTTTTCCACTTGAGACTTTATATCCAATTTGCTGTGTAATCTTTGACAAACTATGATCCTGTTTGGGGGGCCTCGATAAGGTACTCCTAGTAACGTTTACTAACAGCCCTAAGAAGAACTTCCTCCAGTTTTCTGGGCTATCTTTGCTGTCTTTGCTTTCCTTTGTTGCGGTCTGCAGGCTTCCTCCCTGAGCTGAAAGTTCCACATGCAGAAATGCCCCAGACACGTCAGCTTTTCTGAAAGAGCCCTCATCCTCCTGGGCATGACAGTTCTCAGGCCAGGACGGATAAGACACTGGTGGGAAACGTCAAAACCGAAACCTCTGATTCCCTTTAGCAGAAATTCTGGTTGTTGAGAGTTATGCCACCAGAGATTAAACTAGTGGGGTGCTTTCCCCTCCTCTCCTCTAGTGAGAGAAATTGCCTCAATATCACCATATGATGTCACTGAGTGCTGTCTTTGTTGGAAGCATGGGTGCCTGAGAGGTAACTTTTACTGTTGGGAGGAAATAAAGGCCTTGTACAAACTGAGGGCTAAGATGATTTGCTTCCAGACAGTAGCAGCAGACAGAGAGGAAGTGGGGGTAACGGCAGCAAGTTCTGGGCTCTGTTCAGACCCCCAGGGGTGTGGGGCGGGGCATGACTGACCACAGCAGGCTGGGAACCTGGAGAGCCCAGGCAAGGAGCCCCTGGAGCAAGTTAATACTGGAGATTGGATGATGTTTTGGAAGAACCTGCACGCAGGCAGGGATGTGTCTCCCCCACGGAGAGGGCGCCTGTCCACGAGAACACAAGAGACCTTCAGTGTCAACCGTGAGTGGCAACAAGAGCCAGTAACCTGGGATTCCCTGGCGGTCCAGTGATTAGCACTCTGCAGGTTCACTGCGGAGGATGCAGGCTCACTCTCTGGTCAGGGAACTAAGATCCCACAAGTTGTGCAGCTTAGCCAAAAAAATACAAATAAATTAAGAAAAGAAAAAAAGAACCAGTAACCCAAGTGGCCCAGCCCAATCACAGCCCCCACAACTCAGGAACCCCTCACCCCCTTTCCACTCTCCGCTTCATGCTGGTGACAGCAAAATATGCATCCACTTGGCAGAGTCAGGAGAATTCTGGATTGGGTAGAAGTGAATCACAAGCCACTTCAGGGTTGTAATTTAGACACACTGAGGCTGCTGGGGCCTTGGAGAAAATTCAGAGTCCCAGGTTTCATCCCCAGGAAGCCTGGAGCAGGGCCTAGAAGCCAGCATTTAACACAGGCATTTCTGCTGCCATGTTTCTCTGTGACTCTCTCTAGACAGTCAATATTGCTCCCCAAGACTAAACCAAACTTTCCACTAACTTCCTTTTGACCCAGGCTGAATCCAAAAAGAGATGGTCAGGTGGGTTTGCGTAAAGATATTGTTGCTGTTGTTTAGTTGCTAAGTAATGTCTGATCGTTTTGTGACTCCATGGACTATATAACCCACCAGGCTACTCTGTCCATGGATTTTCCAGGCAAGAATACTGTGGTGGGTTGCCATTTCCTTCTCCAGGTGATCTTTCCCACCCAGGGATTGAACCCGGGTCTCCTGCCTTGGCAGGCGGGTTCTTTACCGCTGAGCCACCAGGGAAGCCCATAGCGGCAACACTTTTTCTTTTTCCCACTGTCCGCTTCCCTGCCAGCCTGAATTAGAGCAACCTGCCACATCCCTCTCTGCCTACAGTGCTCACAGAGGCACACAGGGTCACACCAACCAGTCATCTCACATCAGGCTAGTCCACACAACTCCGATTTCTTTAACTTGGTCGAAAAAGAGGAAGTTCTCTCTATGATTCACTGATGGGAGGCAGGGTGGCCATCAAGACTCCTTTGCCCTCCTCCCCGATTTCATTCAAGACAATGTGGGGCTATTTAAACAAGCTGTTCTTTGGGGCATTTTTCTTTCTGTCACTTACCATTTCGAAGCTTGAATCTCCAAACCAAGACGCCATGTGGAAAAAGAGTTTTCTCGTGTTCCTTTTCTCTCTTTCAATTCAAAAGGTTGCACTGGATTGTGAAAGAATGAGAAAAACAAATGGTAAGTTTCATTTACTTCTCTGTTGTACTCAAGCCGCTTTCACTGAAACGATGAGACAGTCAGCTTTAATCGTGCGCTGTCATGAGCAGGTTTCTCTGTGCTTTTTGATGAACAACCAAAGAGGAGAGTTTTTCCACTTTGTATTGTTTGTTTAAAATGAAGTGATTTTAGGGAGGGAGTCAGAGAATCTTTCCTGAGACTAAGAAACAAAATGTTGAGATTGGTTTTTTTAAACAATTTAAACGGCTTTTTCTTTCTCTGTTGTTTTGTAAAATAATTCAGGCATCACTAAAAACATATCCTGGGAGGCAGTTTATCATCATAGAGCCAGCCTGTTGTGGTCCTAACCTTGTTTCTACCCTTTTCCAGCTGGTAGTCTGGGCACATGATGAAAACCACTTTAAGCTTAATTTCTATCCTCTGTGAAGGGGGGGAAAATAAAGGCACCTCCCTGGGAGGGCTGTTGTGAAGACTGAGACAAGCCATGTCCCTCAGCACAGAGCCGAGTGCATGGGGAGCCATCAGTAAATGCTAGCCCAGGTCGTTGTTGTTACTATACTGTAAAAGGTGAACGTTCTGCTATAAATAGATCCCCTCAGTCCCTCTCCCATCTCTGTGTCCAGAAGCAACCACTATTAACAGTTCTTTCCACTCCAATATCAAAGCAAACAAACTCTTCTGTGACCTGTTCTTTTTAAAATTAACACGTCCCAGACATCTTTCTAAGAGGAAGTTGTAGATTTAACTCCCTTCTTTTCAACAGCTGCATGGCATTTCACAGTAGGACTTAGTCATAATTCATTGAACCATCATTCCCTTATTGGCTGTTCCATTTTATTCCTTATCATAGAAACAGTAGTGCAGTAAACATCCTTTGTGGACACATGAGCGTGTGAGAGTTCACGTAGGATAAGATCCTAGAAGTGAAACGGCTGGGTCTAAGGGCCATGTCCATTTGAATTGTTACAGATAATGCTAAGTTGCCCTCCTAACACGCTGAACTGGTGCATGTTCACCAATGCTGACCACGGACATGGGTTAAGTGTGAGACTCTCACCCTCTCTCCGACAGTGGATAAAATCAATTTTTAAAATTTGTGTCAATCTGATGAGTACAAAAATAATATCTCAATGTTGTTTTAGTTCGTGGTTGCCTCATCACTCATAAAGCTGTGCTTCTTCTCATGTTTGTTGACTATGAAAGCTCCAGCATGCCCATATAAAGGACATTTAGGGATGGCAATCTGGCTGGAAAGAGAGGTGAGGTCTTATCTTGAATCTGAACTTACATAAGACTGAGAAAATATTAATTGTCCAGATCAAAGTGTAGATTGCTAGAGTTCTTGAGGGGTCTAAACCCCTCCTCACCCAAGCCATTCCTTGAACACTATTTCTTCTTCTGGGAATTACCTATTCATATTATTTGACCATTTATTTGATTGTCTTTTCCTTATTAATTTGCTATTGGTTTATGTATATGAGGGCTTCCCTGGTAGTTCATATGGTAAAGAATCTGCCTGTAATGCAGGAGACCTGGGTTCCATCCCTGGGTTGGGAAGATCCCCTGGAGAAAGAAATGGCAACCCACTCCAGTATTCTTGCCTGGAGAATCCCATGGACAAGAGGAGCCTGGGCAGGCTACAGTCCATGGAGTCCCAAAGAGTCAGACATGGCTGAATGACTAACACATTTATCTTATGTATACTAAAAGAATCCTATGCTTGTTTATGTTTTAAGTACTTTCTTCTAGGCTTTCACTTGTCTTAATTTTGCCATGGAGGAATTTAAAGTTTTAGAATAGTTATTTCTTTCAGTCTTTTCTTTATGGGTCCTATTTTGTGGGTCTTACTTGGAAGACCTTTTCCAACAGATGATATAAAAACATTTCTGTGTATTTCTCTTAATTCTTTTATAATCTTAAATTTTAACATTAGATTTTCTGATGAGGATTATTTCTTCCCTTGGCATTTTTAAATAATAAAATACAAACACACAAGCTATCAGAGATTACTAGGATTGTGGCAAAAAGATTCAGAAGGCCATTTAGAGAGGCTATAAGAATAAAATAAGTGTAATAGGTTGAGTAATAGTGTAATAGGTTGAGACACATCAAATACGTTTACATCTATGAGTTCACAATGATTCTTAAACAAAAATAACAATAATAAAGGAAAAACATCTCCCTGTTATAAGATACCAGGAAACCAACTCACTATTGTTTAAAATTGATCAATAACAGAAGAGAATCAAGCATTTATCCTCCCTTTTCTATACAAACCGAACCACGGTGTAAGCAAAGAGTTGACAAGGGTATTTCTCTTCAGATAATTACGGGTTATAAATGAAAAAGAACTGGTATATCCCCATTTTGCAGCCTCTAATGAAATTATCAGTGTGCACGTGTGTTCCCAGGCGTGTTTCTGACTCCCTGGGACCCCGGGGATTGCAGCCCTCTGTCCGTGGAATTTCCCAAGCAAGAATGCCGGGGTGGGTTGCCCTACCCTCCTCTGGGGCCATCTTCTTCACCCAAAGATTGAATCCTCGTCTCCTGCCTCAGCAGACGGATTCTTTTGCCCCTGTGCCACCTAAGAAGCTCAGTGAAATAATGCTTCTGGGTGACCATTGTCAAAGCCTGCTAACAAGCAAAAAAGCGAGATAATCAGACATTATGTGCCTCCTAATGGGAGTACATCTACCCCCTAAGTTGCACGCTTGCTAAATAAAAGCTAATCTGAATTTCATCAAGCCTCGGGACAGGAGATAGAACACGGTAAAGGAGCACCCTGCGAACGTAATTAAAGAAATCCAGACCACGGAAAACACTTCAGAACAAACAACTTGCTATCTTCAACAGATAAAGTGCAGGGGGAATAAAAGAGACGGAAAGATCTATCGATGAAAAAAGACATAAGAAACATTTCAACTAATTACAACAGACCATCATGGATCCTAAAAGAAAAATCAGACAGTTGGGGGAATTTGAACAGTAACTAGATCCCTGGTAATATTTTTTAAGTATTGTTAATTTTCAGGTGGGATAATGGTATTATTATTTTTACCAAAGAGTCCTTACTTTTCAGAGATAAAAACTATTAATACGAATGTCCTCCAGCCAAAGATCACTGGAGACACATGTGTAGTTGAACAAAGTTGGGTTTTGAGGGAAAATGTGTATCATGGGAATGAGCAAGAGGGCCTCCTTGAGTAAGATTTGTGTTAGGTAACTTGGAGGAAGATTTGAGGCAGCAGGATTTACTCTGAATTGGATTCTCTCTCTCTCTTTTTTTAATTTATCTAGTTTCTTGACCAGGTATCAAACCTGGGCCCCCTGCATTGGGAGCATGGAGTCTTAGCCATTGGACCACCAGGGAAATCCCTGCATTGGACTCTTTCAGGAAATGGAAACAGCGACACGGTTGGGAATCTTAGTAATTCTTATCTGATGACCAGTGTGAGACTGATGCATGAAGCAGAGCCCCCAAGGCCAAGGCTCTGGGACAACCTAGACGGATAGGGAGGGGAAGAGGGTGGTGGGGGTTTCAGGATAGGAGGATACATGTATAAGCTTTGGCCAATTCTTGTTGATACAGGGCAAAAACCATAACAATATTGTAATTATCCTCCAAGTAAGATAAATTAATTAATTAAAAATAAAATAAATCTTATCTGAAAGATAAGCAGTGCAGGCAAAAACCGTGACTGATAAAGAAGCAGCTGTCAACCATACTAGCCAGTTTAGAGGGGTATTTCACCATTTTTGTGTCTTGGACAATGTTCATCTGTATTCAGACAGGAGTCATCTGGTCTTTTTGTCTCGATCTAATATGGTCATGGGGGGCCTTGTCTGGTACACATATACGGTGTACCAGTGGCCAGTAAGTTCCAAGCCAGAACAAAAGAGCTTGGTGAGGTCACCTGTCTCTCACTGGGAGAGGCCTCTGGAGGTGCCGAGACTTCCTCACACACTGTCCAGCCTGGATGCGCGGGCAAGAAATGCCCCCCACCTCTGGGAAGTTCACCAGGAAAAGAGGGTCTCCACCACCTTGACCCACAAAATGTGGGTTGACAGCCACGGGGTTATTATCATTATATGGTAAAAAGGACTTTCTCTTGTGTTATTTTGTTTTCCAGAATTCCCTTCTCCAAGTTTGTACTCACAAACGGACACAGTCATGTGGGGTCAGAATGTATCTCTATCGTGTTTCCAACAGAACAAATCACTAGAGATCACCTATTTTTTGTTTCGGGATGAGAAATGCCTGCAAACCCAGGATGGAAAAGGTGAACCCGTGACTTTTAACCTAACAATCTCAGAAGCCCGTGATCTGGGCCCCTACAAATGCAAAGTCCAAGTTGCTAACTGTGCAAAATACAGTCAGCCATTCAACTTCACATTTGTCGGTAAGTGGAACGCTTGTTACTCAGGGGCCCTGTGTTTCCTGTTCTAGGGTGGACTCTCTGTTCTGCTGGTTAACACTCTCTCAAGATCCTAGCATATGTGTCATTGAGATCTTGTTTAAGAAACAAGGTCACTTGTTTCTTCATAATTCCATTTCACTTTCTCTCCCAAAGACGTTTAGTCATTTCAGATGATAATAGGCTGATGGCCTAAGACTAAAAGTCTTACATCAACAGTTGAGAAAGTTGTTGAAATCCTTTCTAAATGCTTTATTCTGGATTCTTGTCATATAGGCACACACGAAAAAAGACTTTTTCTCTGCAGATTCAAGTAAGAAGTCTTAGAACCAGTATTGGACCCCGTGGCAAGGGTCTTCAGAGCCCCAGACTTTCCCCAGCTCCTTCTCTTTACGACGGCCATCGGCCAGCATTCTTCCTGCCCAGCCACCTCTTTCCCTCCCCTTCCCCCCCACTACCCACAGCTTGTGGGATCTCAGTTTCTTGACCAGGGCTTGAACCCAGGCCACAGCAGGAAAAGCCCAGGATCCTAACCATTAGGCCCCCAGGGAACTCCCCAACCACATTTTCTCTCTCCCATCTTCCCACCCCAAGCCTCTCACAGCCTAGCATTAATGGCCTCATCCATGATAGTGACCTTGATATTGGACTGCTGGGCGAGGGAGAGAGGGCTTCCAGGTAATACGTGTACCTGGAGTCTTCCAAACAGAGGACCCCTGACTTACTGATCGAGTATTTGAGTGATCCTCTGGGTCTGTGCTCTCTCGCATGGTAGCCACTAGCCACATGTTGTTATTTAAGTTTAAATTCGTTAGCTAAAATTAGGTGAAATTAAAAAATGCAGTTCCTCCATCTCGTTAGTCATACTTCAAGAGCCCAGAAGCCATAGGTGTGGTGTGGCTGTTGTATTAGACAACACAGACACAGAACATATCCGTCATCACAGAAAGTTCTATTGGATGCCTCTACTCTAGGTCAATGGTTCTTAGCTTTTTAGGTTATAACCATTTTAACAATGTAATGATAGTGATGGATACTACCATCCATACTAACTTCCCTGAGATGTTTTCATGAGACTACCGATGCAAACTTCTGCATAAGACTGTAAGGGATGCCATGGACTCTGGGTTAGAGCCATCTCAGGGACTCCGCTGGCACTACAGTGGTTAAGACTACAGGCCTTCAGTATAGGGGGCACAGGTTCGTTCTCTGGTCGGGGAACTAAGAGCCCACATGCTGTGTGGCACAGCCAAAATTTTTTTTTTAATTAAATAAAAAAAAAAAAAAACAAGAACCAACCATCTTAGGACAAATTTGAACACAAACTCAATTGAAGCCATAACTGTAAAAGAAATGTAAAAAGAAGACAACCATGTAAACAAGGTCTAGTATGTGGTACATAATGTGAGGGCAGTGCCCTAGCTGATAATATTCTCTGGTGGTCAGATTCCTGCTGGACTGGGCCTGGATTTGCAGAAAAAGCGATGCAAGGGGCAGCAGGGAACCCATGTATACCCCTAGCTTCCTGTGCAAGGCTGAAGCCTTAAATCAATGGATTAAAAAAAAAAAAACAACCCAGTCTTCATTTCCTGAGCATCTGTCCCACAGATAGGTGTACAGTCTTCCCACATCCTGCCTTCAAAGTAAATGCACGCACTAGTTTCCTGCAATGTGTTTCCAGCAGTAATTCCACTGTCTGATAGAATTTTTTATAGATTATAAACCTGTATCATCTTCATTTAAGTCAGACTAACATCTATTGAGTGCCTACCCCATGTGAATAACTGTCTTGCATGCTGCCAGAGTTTCGATGATACCGAAATCATGATCTTGTTCCCAACTCAGTAAGGAATATGAGCCATGAATAGAGATTCGTTCATCTTTGATCCACTCATTGAATATTTAATGATATCCCCAATGTGCCAAGCCCTGGATATACATTAGTTCTTGCCTTGGTGGAGCTTATAGTCTAATTGAGGTGGCATGAAACCCAAGTACCCAGTCAAATAAATTCATAATCACAAACTGTGTTGACGGTTACAGAGAAAAAGAAACTGGCACAGTGATGGGGTTCTATTTTTTGGCTGCCCAGGAGTCTTAGTGGTGGCATATGGAGATCTAGTTCCCTGACCAGGGATTAGACCTGTAGGGTCTTAGCCACTGGACCACTAGGGAAGTCCTGGCAGATGGGTTCTTTACCCCTAGCACCACCTGGGAAGCCCAGATAAGATAGTTATAGAAGAAAAAAAAAAGAGTTATGGAAGGACTTTCTAAGGGGATGGCATTTCAGGGGACCCCTGAAAGATGAGAAATGATTTGCTACAGTGAAAGAAGGCTCTAGTCAAGGGACAATACCCTGTGCTGGGGGCTCCACCCTGAGGAAGAACTTGGCTGTTGGGAAGGGTGTAATATGCCACTGGTATGGCTGGAGGTCAGATGAGGGGACCGTGACCTCAAGACTGGAAAGGGGAGGGGAGAGCCAAATCAGACCTATGACCCCATTTATCATCTTTGAAGTTAATTCTTCCTGGGTGGGGCAGGGCAAGGGTAGAGGCTGGGGATTGGCTGGGAGGCTTTTGCAGTCATCCAGGCGACAAACAGTGGGGAGATGGAAAGGAGTGGATGGGGTCAGAACAGACTTTGGAGGGAGAAACAACAGAGCTTGCTGAGTGATTAGGTTTGGAATCATAGGTAGTAAAAGTGAGGAAGGAGTCAAGAATGACTCTCAGGTGTCTACTGTGATCAGTTGATGGACAGTCATTTACTGAGAGGGGCAAAAATAGAAGTTGTTCAATGGGTATAAAATTTTGGTTATGGTTAACAATGCTGTACTATGCACTTAAAAATTTGTTAAGAAGGTAGATCTCTACAAATGACCCAGTTTCATTCATTTTTATGACTGAGCAATATCCCATTGTATATATGTGTACCGCATCTTCTTTGTCCATTCATCTGTCATTAGACCTGTCAGTTGCTTCCATGTCCTGGCTATTGTAAACAGTGCTACAATGAACATTGGGGTACATGTGTCTTTTTGAATTATGGTTTTCTCCAGATAAATCCAGTAGTGGGATTGCTGGGTCATATGGCAATTCTATTCCTAGTTTTTTGAGCAAACTCCATACTGTTCTCCATAGTGGCTGTATTAATTTACATTCCCACCAACAGTGCAAGAGGGTTCCCTTTTCTCCACACCCTCTCCAGCATTTATCATTTGTAGACTTTTTAAAGAAAATTACTAATTTATTTATTTGGCGGCATCAGGTCTTAGTTGCAGCACATGGGATCCTTGTTGCATCATGCGGGATCTTTCATTGTGGCACACAGATTCCAGAGCCCTTGGGTTCAGTAGTTGGGCTCCTGGGCTTAGTAGCCCGGTAGCACATGGAATTTTAGTTCTCCAACCAGGGATTGAATCTTAGTTCTCCAACCAGAGATTGAATCCACGTCCCCTGCATTGTAAGGGAGATTCCTCACCACTGGATCAGCAGGGAAGTCCCTATAGTTTGTACAGTTTTTGATGATGGCCATTCTGACCAGTGTGATGGACCTAGAGTCTATCATACAGAGTAAAGTCAGAAAGAGGAAAAAAAATCATGTATTACTGCATATATGTGGAATCTAGAAAAATGGTACAAACAAACCTATTTGCAGGGCCGGAATAGAGACACAGACACAGGGAACAGATGTGTGAATATGGCAGGGTGGGATGAATTGGGACATTGGGATTGATGGTGTGTGCTCTGCCACATGTAAAACAGATAGTGGGAACCTGCTTCATGGCGCAGGGCGCTCCGCTCAGGGCTCACCCTAGAGGCGTGGGACTGGGGTGTGCTAGAAGGAAGGTCCAAGAGGGAGGGGCTGTATGTATACATAGAGCTGATTCACTTCATTGTACAGCAGAAAATAACACGTGCTAAAGCAACTATACTCCAATTAAAAAAAAAAAGAACCTACGGTATAGACAGGGAACCCTATCAATACTCTGTAATGAGTTCTATGGCAACTGAGAGAGTGGATACATATATATATATATATATATAACTGATTCAGTTTGTTGTAGAGCAGAAACTAACACAACATTGTAAGTCAACTATAATCCAATAAAAAATAATTTAAAAAAAAGAAAAAAAAGAAGGTAGATCTCATGTTTACTGTTCTTAGCACAAAAGAACTAAATGAATGACTGAATGAATGAAAACATTTTTTAAAAGAATATAATTTTAATAATGTTTATCTACCTAACGATTGATTCATTAACTAGCAGATTAACTAGAGTTCAGTTTCAAGAGGTTATGCTTGAGGTGGCCAGGAGACATTCAAGTGGATCATGAAATAAGAGGCAGAAAAAGTAGTGTGAGGATGGGATCAAGTGCTGGAGGAGACAGAAGAGGGAGAACTTTTGCCTGGAGGATTTAGGAAAAGTTTAATGGGGAAGGTGGCATCTGAAAGAGCCTTAAAGGACTCCTTTAATTTAAAAAACAGAACTGATTTATGGAAGAGTTACAACTCCCTTCCCTTGATCACAGTGATGCTGTGATGCCCTGCACCAGTCCTTTCACAAACTCTTGAGGGAAGTTTACATCTTTCCACTAAGTTTAGATATCAACCCTTATTCCAGTTTGAGTCATCTTATCTCAGAGAGAAGTCCATGCTCTCTGCTTCATCATGAATACTTCAATTCCTGAAAGTTGCAGGAAGTGGATTTCAGGAAGCAGTTTTTCGTAGGAAGAACAGTCTATTGATGCTGTTCCCAAACAAAGTTGCTCTTTGAGGCTCCCATCCCTGGGTACCACTCTGTCAAGGATGCTGCCACCGGGGTACCACTCTGTCAAGGATGCTGCCACCGGGATTCCTGCTCAGGGGAGGGAGGGATGGAGCAAGAAGACTCTAATTTGTTAGTTTCTTTCCTTTGACTTAGACAATGAAACATGTTTCATTGTTTCTGCACCCAGTTGTCAAATTGGCACACTACTGTTAAAAACAAAAGTATCTGCTTGGGAGTTGGCCCTGGCTCTGCCATTTATTAGCTATGTGGTCTCTGAATATCAATGGACTCATCTGTGGAATGAGCTTAATGCTGTCCACCTTGTGTGCTGCTGTGAAGTGAACCAAGATAACGTGGGTAGTGACCCCAACACATGAAGGATACTCATTATCTTTCTTTCCCTATAACCCTGCTTCATTAAAGAACTATATAACAAATTACAGAGCTGGATTCTCCCATGAAGTATGGTATGATCTGACAGAGCCTACCAGACTCACTGGTTTCTGGTCAAGAATTTCCCTTAACCCTATTTATCAGGGTTACTTCCTGTTTCGGGGAGGAACTGGAAGATAAATGAACAGCTGAATTCTACAAATGACAGTACAGTGAGAAAAGATGGTATTTTTAGATTTCCTTGATTTAAAAAAAAAATTGTTATCTTACAAGGATTAGGACTAAAAGCACCTCTCAACTACATACTTGAAGCTGGATCTTTGACAAAATTATACCATCAACCACAAACAAATGGTGAATTCTGATAAAAGGCAAGCTTGCACTCCAGCTCCTCAAAGCAGAGACATGCTCTCCACTCTCTGGCTTTCTCAGAACCTGGTTCATGCCAGGATACATGGGGTTAACCACATACCTATTGATCTTTCCCCATGGAGCTTCTTGTGAGCAGTTTGACTTCACAAGACGGGTGTCGTTCATTTTTGGGTGAACAGCCAGGAATAGAGTAGGGCTTCCATCCATGTTTGTGGACGGAGTGAGGAAATCCAATCTGCTTAGCTATTTAACGTGCACTTTCATTTTTCTAGACCCAGTGACTGCACCAGTGCTGAACATTAGCATCATTCAAACAAAAACAGACCGATATATAGCGCTACGCTGCATCTCATTCAACGGCTCTCTGCCCATCGATTATATTTTCTTTGAAAAAAACATCAACATATCACCAGTTATTTCCAAGAATGTAAGGAAGCCTGCTGAATTTAACATAACCGAGAGTAACACTGCAGAAGTGAAAGAGTACAGGTGTAAAGCTAAAAACAGATTGCCTAACCATGCAAAATACAGTCAACCTGTCACCATAGCTTCAACAGGTAAGGGCTACCTGAACTCGTTCAACAGGGTCTGGATTTACTTCCAGAAACTGCAGCCCCTCCTCTGCCCACCATTTCCCACTTTGCCCACCTGCTTCTAAGTGCTTTTCCTTCTGTAGGGTCCATATGCTCTGATGGGGCTGCTTTCTGCCATAAAGGAACCATAGAAAAACCTGGAGAGTGGGGCAGGAAGCGACCTTGCAGTAAGACTTCCTGAACTGACTCTGTTTCTGCTCAAGTTCTAAGCAATCACATTAGAATTTGTAACTCTCTTTGTTTTCACTTTCTTTTTTTAAGCACTATTCTCATTTATTTATTTGTTTTGATCGTGCTGGGTCTTCATGGCTGTGCACAGGCTTCCTTTAGTTCGTTGCATTCTCTAGTGGCAGCAAGTGGGGGCTACTCTTCGTTGCAGAGACGAGCTTCTCATTGCAGTGACTTCTCTTGCTGTGGAGCACAGGCTCTACGCACGCGGGCTTCAGTGGCTGCAGCACGAAGGCTGAGTAGCTGTGCTGCTCTAGGCTTAGGCATGTGGAATCTTCTCGGACCAGGGATCGAACATGTGTCCCGTGCACTAACAGGCAGATTCTTATCCACTGCACCACCAGGGAAGTCCTGCATCTCTTGAAGCTGCTGGGGTCTCTTGATTTTCCTGTGCTTTTTTAAATCATTAAAAAAAAAAAAAAAAGCAACTCACTTCTAACACCAGTACCTTCCTGCTTCGCTGTTGAATGCCCTGCTGGTAATGCTTGGTGAATCTAGATTTCCCTATTGGGGGCAAGAGCGGCTCCTGTCCCAGTCTTGTGTTTCGGAAGACGCTGCCTGGATTCTTCTCAACCACACACTTTCCAATCAGCTTCCCATAAGCCATAGGGATGCCTGCCTGGACCTTGTATCTCTACTTTTCTGTACCTCACTCTAGTTTCCTAGACCTGAATTCCCTACCCCATCAGATCAGAACCCACCTCCCAGGGCCTGTGCACATCTCTTTCCCAGCTCGTCCTCCCAAGGGCAGACCACCGTGAGGATGTGAGCACTCCTGGACTCAAGCCAAGGGAGCTATTTGTGGGGGGTGAGGGACGACATTTGGCCATGCAGGCAGGGGCTGTCTATGTGTTTGTCAGGTTCCCTAGGGCGCGAATCAGAGCCTGGGTGGGATGGGACCAGGCCAGAGCTAGAGCCAGTTCTCTTTACAATGTCATGTTTCAGCACAGAACTCCGAGTCTGAGAATTCCAGATTTAAACCTACCCTTAGAGACGTCCCTGGCCGTCTAGTGGTTAAGAATCTGCATGGGTTTGATCCCTGGTCAGGGAACTGGGACCCCTCAGGGTGCATGGCCACAAAATTAAAAAAACAAAAACCTGGCCTGATGTAAGGGACACTGGTCAAGGTGGGAGGAGAAAAAAAAATTAGGTTATCAAGGGTAATAGGCACACAGGGCATTAAACACCTCATCCTCAGAAGATCAGAGCCCACATCTGGGTGTTCAGTGAATTCTAACAAGTGAGGCAGCCTGTTTGAGTCAGGCCCCAGAGTCAGCCTTTTGCCTACAAATCACTGCCTTCCATTCACTAGCTGTGTGACCTTAGAAAAGTCATGTACTCTTATTTAATTGTAAAATGGGAACTTTACTTAATTGAGTCTTATTCTACTTAATTGTAAAATGGGAATAATACCAATGAGACACATAAGGCAATGCACATAAAGTACTTAACACAATGTCTGCATATAGTCAATAATAAGTGACAGCTGCCGGGTAACGTAGATCATGCCAACATGACTAAAGACTTTGCCTGGCAAATGGCCAGGCTGTTCTCAGATTTATGACCCTAATGATGTAGACAACAATCTGTCTGTTAAATGCTGTGCTGCTTTTTTTCCTTTGTAAATGACCCTTGGTGGAAGATGGACTTGGTATGACTTTTAGAACTTCATTAACAAGTTAATTCTCAGGTGCTACAGGTGTCCACATAGGGCAGGGACCCAGGGTTCATGGTATCTTGGCTAACTTGGGAGACAGTCATGATCGACCTTTCCAGAACATTCCACAATTCAGTATCATTGGAAAAGCAGGTTGTGCAGTGACCAGTGAATGCTGTCTTCTTCTTCTTTCAGGAGGAGACTGCGGTCCATTCTGCCTGCAGTTCCTGCTTCCGGGGTTATTACTGGTGCTAATAGTAATCATCCTAATTCTAGTATTTTGGATGCTACCAAAGTACAAAGCAAGTAAGTTCCTTAGGAGCTTTGCCATTGTTTTCCCTGGTGGCTGAGACAGTTAAGAATCTGCCTGCAATGCAGGAGACCCAGGTTCAATCCCTGGGTGGGGAAGATCCCCTGAAGAGGGGAATGGCTACTCAATCCAGTATGCCAGCCTGGAGAATCCATGGACAGAGGAGCCTGGCAGGCTATAGTCCTTGGGGTCACAAAGAGTTGGATACGACTGAGCGACTAATATTTTCACTTTCCCTGGATTTTGGAGACAGACAGCAGGGGAGAGGGTAAGGAGGAAGGGAAAGGAGAATCAGAAATGGGACGTGAAGAAAATGAAAAGAGAAGGAAAAGACGCAAAACGAGAAGATAACGAAGAACTTCCCAAACTGTTCACATTTAGCACAGTTCTCTTTTCTCTGGTGAAGCCTTCCCTATTTAGATTGCTCGTGGGCGTGTTACCTGTGCAGTCACATAGGACCCCGCGCTAAGATGACATTTTAATGCTCTGATGTCATTGTCTTAAAATTTGTAATACCTGTTTACCTTTTTTTTAATTTTTAAAAAATTCTTTTTCAAAATTGTGGTAAAATATGCATAACAATAGAATTTACCACCTTGGCCATTGTTAAGTATACAGTTCGGTGGCATTAAGTACATTCACATTCCTGGGCTACCATCACCAGCCATCCACTTTTTCACTTTGCAAATATGACACTTTGTACCTGTCAAACAGTGTAAGTCCCTACTAATTTCTCTCTCCTCCCAGCCCCTGGCAAACACCATTCCAATTCCTGTCTAAGAATTGATTTTAGAAATCTCATGTAAGTGGAATCACACCATATTTGTCCTTTTGTAGGTGGCTTCTTTCATTTAGCACAATGTCCTCAAGGTTCATCCATGTTGTATACATGTCAGAATTTCCTTCATTTGGGGGGACTTTCCTGGTTTCCCAATGGTTAGAACTCTGCACTTCCACTGCAGGGGACACGGCTTCAATCTGTGGTTGGGGAACTTAGATCCCACAAGCCTTGCGGTGCAAAAGATTTTTTTTCTCCTTCATTTCAAAAGCTGAATAATCAGTTATATATATGTGTATATGTATTATACACACACAAGTATATATACATAATACAAACTTTATTTATCCATTCATTCATTCGTCAATGAACTCTTTCTTCAGAAAAAATTCCCAGAAGTAGAATTGCTGGATCTTTTTTTTTTTTTTGAGACTCCTCCATGCAGTTTTCCACAGTGGCTGCAACAATTTACATTCCCACCAACAGTGCATGATGGTTTCCTTTAAGATGCTTCCTTGTCAACACTTGTTACTTGTTACCTTTTTGATGGTAGCTATTCTGAGATGTGTGAGGTGGTATCTCTTTGTAGTTTCAATTTGCATGTCCCTGATGATTAGTGATTTCGAACATCTTTCCATGTGCCTGCTGGCCATCTGTATGTCCTCTTTAGAAAATGTCTATATAATTCCTCTGCCTGCTTTTAAATTGCACTGTTTGGTTTTCTGACGCTGAGCTCTATGAGTTCTTTGTACATTTTGGATATTAACTCCTTATCAGGCATGTCATTTGCAATATCTTCCTTCATTCAGTAGGCTGCCTTTTTGCTTTGTTGATAATTTCCTTCACTGTTCAAGCTTAATGTAGTCCCATTTGTTTGTTTTTGCTTTTACTTCTCTTGCCTGAGACAGGGCCAAAAAAAATATTGCTAAGACCAGTGTCAAAGAGCATACCACCTACGTTTTCTTTTATGTGTTTTATGGTTTCTAATCTCACATTTAGGTTCTTAATCCACTTTATTTTTATAGATGGTGTGAGATAGTAGTCCAGTTTTATTCTTTCACATACAGCTGTCCAGTTTTCCCAATACCATTTATTGAAAAGACTATCTTTTCCTGACTGTATATTCTTACCTCCCTTGTAAATTAATTAACCATATAAGTAGGGGTTCATTTCTGGGCTCTCTAGTCCGTTTCATTGATCTATGTGTCTGTTTCTGTGCCAGTCCCATACTGTTTTGATTAATGTGCCTTCAAAGTACAGTTTGAAATTAGAGAATATGATACCTCTAGCTTTGTTCTTTCTCAGCATAGGTTGTTTTGTGTTTGCAAACAAATTTTAGAATTATTTACCTAAGTCTGTGAAAAATCCCATTGTTAATTTGACAGGGATTTCACTAAACCTGTAGATTGCCTTGGGGAGTACAGCCATTTGCAATATTAATTCTTCCAATCCATAAGAATGGTATATCTTTTCATTTGTTTGTGCTGTCTTCAGCACAAACAGCACTGATGAATTTCCTTCATCAATGTCTTATGGTTTCCCAAGTACAGGTCTTTTACCTTCTTGGTTATATTATTCCTAGGTATTTTATTCTTTTTAGTACAGATAGGATTAATTTCTCTTTCAGATAGTTCATTGTTGGTGTATAGAAATGCAACTGATCTCTGTATATTATTAATAATTTCATATACTGCGACTTTAGCTGAAATCATTTATTTGTTTCAATAGTTCTAGTTCTTTGGTGGTGTCTTTAGCATTTTCTCTATATAGTGTCATGTCATCTGCAGTGACAGTTTTACTTTTTTTCTTCCAATTTTGATTCCTTTTTTTCTTCTTCTCTGATTGCTGTGGCTGACTCCCAGTACTATTGTGAATAAAGGTGGCAAGAGTGAGCATTTTTGTCTTCTTCCTTATCTTAGAGGAAATGCTTTTGGCTTTTCATCACTGAGTATAATGTTAGCCATGGGCTTGTTATATATGGTCTTTATTATGTTGAGGTATGTTCCCTCTGTACTCACTTTGTTTAGTTTTTATCATAAATCAATACTGAATTTTGTCAAAAGCTATTTCTGCATCTATTTAAATAATCATATGGTTTTTATTCAATTTGTTAATGTGGTGTATCACACTGACTGATTTGTGGATATTGAAATACTGTGTGGTATATCACACTGATTGATTTGTGGATATTGAAATGTCCTTGTATCTCTGGGATAAATCTCAATTGATCCTGGGGTCTAATTCTTTCAATGTATTATTGAATTTGGTTTGCTAATATGTTGTTGAGGATTTTTGCATCTACATTCATCAGTGATATTGGCCTGTAGTTTTCTTTTTTTTCTGGTGTCTTTGTCTGTATTTGTTGTTTGGGGTTTTGTTGTTGTTGTTCATTTTGGCTGCACCAGGTCTTAGGTGTGACACTTTGGATCATTTTTTTTTTTTTTTTAGTTGCATCATGTGGGATCTTAGTTGCACCACGAACGATCTAGTTCCCTGACTAAGGACTAAACCCAGACCCCCTGCATTATGAGCTCAGAGTCTTAGCCACTGGACCACCAAAAAGTGTCTGTCATTGTCTGGCTTTGAGATCAGGGTGATCCTGGCCTTGTAGAATGAGTTTGGAAGGGTTCCTTCCTCTTCAATGTTTTATACAGTTCACCTGTGAAACCATCTGGTCCAGGATTTTTATTTGTTAGGAGTCTTTTGATTATTGATTCCATTTCATATTGAGTGGTAATTGGGCTGTTCATATTTTATATTTCTTTCTGAGTTAGCCTGAGGAGACTGTATATTTTAGGAATTTATCCATTTATTCTAGGTTGCCTGTTTCATTGGTGTGCAATTGTTTATCATAATCTCTTACGACCCTTTGTATTTCTATGGTTATCAGCTGTAACTTCTTTCTTTTTTTTTTTAAATTTCTTGGACAATATAATATGGAATTTACTTCCATGGAGAATTATCAGTGAAGTCCTTTAAAAGCATTCCTTTTTTTTTTTTTAACTGAAGGATAATTGCTTTACAATGTTGTGTTGGTTTCTGTCATACAACAATGCAAATCAGTCATGACTATATGTACATCCCTCCTTCTGGAGCCTCCCGCCGATTCCCTACTTCTTCCATTTTTCATTTTACTTATTTGAGCCCTCTTTTTTCTTGATGAGTCTAGCTAAAGGTTTATCAATTTTGTTTGGCTTTTCATAGAACCAGCTCTTCATCAATCTTTTCTACTGTTTTCTTTTAGTTGTTATTTCACTTATTCCTGCTCTGATCTTTATTATTTCTTTCCTTCTAACTTTTCTTCTTTCCTTTGGGTTTAAAGTTAGGTTGCTTATGATTTCTCTTGTTTCCTGAGATAGACTTGTATTGCAATAAACTTCCCTTTTAGAGCTGCTTTTGCTCGGTCCCTTAGATTTTGGATGGTTGTGCTTCCATTTTCATTCATCTTTGGGTATGTTTTTTTATTTCCTCTTTAATTTCTTTAGTGACTCATTGTTTGTTTGGTAGTATATTGTTTACCCTCCATGTGTTTGTGGGTTGTTGTTGTTGTTGTTGTTTTGGGTAGTTTTTAGTTGATTTCTAGTCTCATATGTTGTGGTCAGAAAAGATGGCTGATATGACTTCAATCCTCTGAAATTTATTGCATCTCATGAATTTTTAAACCTGGTCTCGTCTTCCTATAAAAATCTGAGGATCTTATAAAAGCGGAATTAATATTCTTGAGTACTCACCAGGGCTAAATGGAACTCAGTTGGGTAATTTAGTAGCTCTTGCAGATATTAAGAAGCTTTTTACAGGCTATTCTTCTCAGTGAAGGAAAGAAAAGATATCTCTGACCATCTCAAGCACAATCTGATAGGCAGAGGGTGTTATTTGCAGATCTGAGAAAATAAATCAGAAGGACTCCTGGCTTGAAGAAGCAGATGCTATGGTCTCCTAGCTGAGCCCACGATTTCCCTTTAATAGACAACACTTTAGGCCATCTGAGAAGGTCATTCTTCCAAAACTTTGGGGAATTCTGCTCCATAGAGGAGCAGGGAAAAAAAAGATGTGGCTGAATTGGTTTATTTTAATGATTCTGCACCAACTTACGTAGGAAAGGCGATGAAAGATAGTGCACCCAGAGTCTACGGAAATACACCCATGGAAGCTGGAATATATGCAAATGTCTGTGAAAATCAAGCAGGTAAGAGAATTTTGTTTGAGATTTTGGTTGGTTTGGGGGTTTTGTCTTCTAAATTTTTTTAAGGTCATACAGACACATGGGTAAAATATTGGAGAAGCTGAGCATAGTGTCTCCCTCCTGCCCCAACACTCAATCCCACTTTAAAATCCTTCTACAGATATTTTATGTGTGTTTTAGCATCTAAATAAATGGTAGCAATGGTAGCATGTCATAGATATGCCATTCTACACCTGATTTTTTGAGTTAACAACGTATCTTGGAGTTTGGTTTTTTTTAATATCAGTTCAGAATGATCCACACTGCGTTCCAATCACTTTTACGATCACTTCTTAAAGCTGGCATCATTTACTGCTTTATGGTAAACAGACCCAGCGCCTTGGCCAACAGAGAGAACAACCCCAGCCAATGTTGATGCTGACTGAGGGCCAGCCTGTTCCAGGCACAGTGCTAAGTGACTTATCTGCTCTGTCTGGTGCAAACACCACTAACTCCCAAATTACATCATCCCCATTTTACAGATGAGAAGCCTGTTCCAGGCTTAGAACCAAAGCAATGTGTTTCCAGTACCCAAGATGCTAAGTACTCTGTGCAAAGTCCAGAAGTGACATGCCGTTGTAAGTGTAGCTGACTAAGCCGCTGCCCTCGGGAGATCAGAGATTCGGACCATAGACCCAGTAATTCTGTTTCTTGTCTTTTGCCCAGGGGCTGAATACTCCCAGGAGATACATTATGCTGCCCCCATGTTCCAGCAGGTGGCACCAAGAGATCAGGGTGAGCCACAGTTTGGGATAGGAGACACTGTTGAAAGGGGTCAGTGGTTTCTGTGAGGCCTTCATTGGCTTTAGGAACCCAAGGATGGGATGAACAGGGGCAACAGACACACCCTAGGAAACCAGTAGCAACCAGCACCACAGCGCCTAATAAATTTCATCAGGACGTGGGTGGATGGGGAGGAGGAAAGGATATGGTAGGGAGTGTATCACATAAAAAGAAATCCAGAGAGAACAATGCAAGTGCACTTCTAAAATGCTTTCAAGAATAAATCACATAATGTAGTCCAGGAAAAAAAGACAGTTAACACTTGGTTTTATCAGGCCCCCAGCTACCAAATTAGAATTTTAAAAGAGCTTCTATAGATATATATCCAAGATTGAAGGCAAAAGGAGAAGAGGGCGACAGAGGATGAGATGGTTAGATAGCATCACCGACCTAATGGACACAAGCTTGAGGAAACTCTGGGAGATGGTGAAGGACACGGAAGCCTGGCATGCTGCAGTCCACTGGACTGCAAAGAATCAGACATGAACTAGCAACTGAACATCAACAACAACATCCTAAGTCTACTGAATTGTTTTCTCTTTTATATTACAGAAGACAGTAATAATTCTAAAGGTGGATATGTCTATTCTGAACTTGTCTTCTGAGATTTAAAGATGTAGGCTACATCTCAGGGTAAGATGCTTTTTACAAAGCTGATTTCCATAAAGAAAAAGCAAACTTGATTGATACTTTAAAAAGTTTCACCTGGTTACCCAAAGTGACTCACTGTTTTTCATGCTTAAACACTATTCCTTTGGCTTTTGCAGGTACATACAATCCTGTCATCAGACAAGAGTTTTGTTAGGTGGGATCCTGACTAATGACAGTTTTTACATGCTTTTGCCATTTTTTGGCAAGGGCTATTTCCCCCATTTCCACACCATTTAATAAAGAATAATTTTTTGACCACTGTGTTCTTCTTAAGTGCATCCTGGAAGCTTACGACAATCATCTCCCCATCCCCATGTCCACCGAAGTTTCAGAAGCAAACACACAAACCAAAAACCATGCCTGAATTCCAAAACAAAACTTGGTGACCTTGAAAAGGTGTCTGAAGAAAACAGCACCTGCAGTCACCTCTGGAGAAAGGCAAGGTCACTCAATGAGTACCCATTTATTATCCACTACCACTAACATTTGCTCTTCGCTTCCGGAAGCCTGCAAATTCATTTCTATTGATTCCCATGGACTTTCTCAGTCCTCAAGATTTAGCTCATGTCAGAGGCGTGCCTTTATGTGCTGCATTTCCGGTCAGCTCTCTGTCAAGAGGACAACCCAGAGTTGAGTTGGGGGAGAAGAGAGAAATGGATTAGTTTCCCAGGATTGCTGTAACAGATTACCACCAACTGCTGACTTAAACCAACAGACATGTATTTTCTCACAGGACTTCCCTGATAGCTCAGTTGGTAAAGAATCCACCTGCAATGCAGGAGACCCAGTTTGATTCCTGGATCAGGAAGGTCCGCTGGAGAAGCGATAGGCTACCCACTCCAGTATTGGTGGGAGTGACTTAGCACACACACACAGTAGATTCAGGAACTACCCAGATGATCCAGGTTGATCTTATCTTGAGATTCTTAACTTATTAATTACACCTTCAGAGACCTTTTTCTCAAGTAAGGTGATATTCACGGGTTCCAAGTGTTAGGACTTACGGGGGAGCCTCCGTTCAGTCCACTTGAGGGGCAAAAATATTTCTGGTTTGAATCTCTCATCCCAGGAGTTATAAGTGAAGTCCAATAAAGCCAAGAGGCATTTCTGGGCTTCTGGGCACAAAATAACTTGGCCAAAATTGCTCCACTCTGTTCTTCTGGGGGGGTTGCCTGAACCTCAGTCTTAACTATTCTCAACAATGGACTTCTGACTAGAAAAATCATAGTTATCAGCTAATTAGACACTAACTCTGGAACACCCTTGGGTCCGGTATTATTAACCTGATTTTACAGGTAAGGAAACCGAGGCTTAGATGAGGTAAGTAATTTCACAGGGTCATCCCCAGCTTGGTAAGTGCTTGAATTGGGACTTAAATCCCAGCAAAGAACAACAGCAGCACTGGCTGCAGGAATGCATATTCAGGGTGGGAAGGGCTATGCTGTACACACAGGTCCAGACGAATCTGAGGATTTTGTTGCCATAAAGCAGCATTCATGAGCTTAATTTCCCCTTCTTTCTGTGGATATTTTTATTGGTTTGGCCAATAAGTTCATCTGGGTTCTTTCCATAAGATGTGATAGAAAACACCAAACGAACTTTTGACCAACCCTAAAGAAGGCTGAGCACCAAAGAATCAATGTTTTCGAATTGTGGTGCTGGAGAAGACTCTTGAGAGTCTCTTGAACAGCAAGGAAATCAAAACAGTCAACCCTAAAGGGTTCAATATTCATTGGAAGGACTGATGCTGAAGCTAAAGCTCCAATCCTTTGGTCACTTGATGCAAAGAATTGACTCGCTGGAAAACAGCCTGCTGCTGGAAAGACTGAAGGCAGGAGAAGGGGGAGACAGAGGATAAGAAGGTTGGATGGATCACCAACTCAATTGACATGAGTTTGAGCAATCTCCGGGAGATACTGAAGGACAGAGAAGCCTGGTGCATTGCAGTCCATGGAGTCACAAAGAGGAGGACACAGCTTCGTGACTGAACAATATTTGGAGGAACTCAGTATATCACAGAGGCTGAGGGTGAGGATACCCAGACTCAGGGCTAATTGTGTGACTCTGGGTAAGTTACATAAAATCCTGGGGTTCAGTTCCCTCACTTGAGGCGGTGGGGGAAAGAAGAGAGGGACAGGGAGAAATATTACCTACATCATGGAGCTGCTGTGAGAATTAACTCAGGTAATGAATGTAAAAGGTTTGGAACAGGGCCGGGCTCAGAGTAAGAACTGAAAAAAAAAAAAAAAAGCTAGCTGTTCATAGTATGCTCGTCCTTAGCACGTGTCATACTAATTGGCTGCTCCCCTTAGAAATCTTCAGTCTTTGAGGTCATAAACTTAGTTACTTGGACACCATTAACCTCTTAATGTAGTAACCTGAGCTCCTTCCTGAAGCAGAGCCTGAGGCAAGGACTTGGTGCTGGTTGTTTATATGAGGGCCCAGGGAGACTGAAATAGAGAAGCCAACACAAGAGGTGGGGAGGGGCTGGCGAATCAGTGAGCACCCCAGTAACTGGATTTGATCCTATTAAGACCACCTGCAGTCTCAAATTGCCTTGATTCATGGACCTAACATTCCAGGTTCCTATGCAATATTGCTCTTTACAGCATTGGACCTTGCTTCTATCACCAGTCACATCCATAACTGGGTATTGTTTTTGCCTTGGCTCCATCCCTTCATTCTTTGTGGAGTTATTTCTCCATTGATCTCCATTAGCATATTGGGCACCTACCGACCTGGGGAGTTCCTCTTTCAGTATCCTATCATTTTGCCTTTTCATACTGTTCATGGGGTTCTCAAGGCAAGAATACTGAAGTGGTTTGCCATTCCCTTCTCCAGTGGACCACATTCTGTCAGCCCTCTCCACCGTGACCCGTCCGTCTTGGGTGGCCCCACACGGCATGGCTTAGTTTCACTGAGTTAGACAAGGCTGTGGTCCGTGTGATCAGATTGGCTGGTTTTCTGTGATTGTGGTTTTAGTGTGTCTGCCCTCTGATGCCCTCTCGCAACACCTACCATCTTACTTGGGTTTCTCTTACCTTGGACGTGGGGTATCTCTTTACAGCTGCTCCAGCAAAGCGCAGCCGCTGCTCCTCACCTTGGCTGAGGGGTATCTTCTCACGGCCGCGCCTGCTGACCTTGAATGTGGAGTAGTTCCTCTCAGCCCTCCTGCGCCCCGCAGCAGCCGCTCCTTGGAACTGGGGCTGCTCCTCTCGGCCGCAGCCCCTGTCCTCAGGCGTGTGGGAGCTCCTCTCGGCCACCGCCCCTGCTCTCGGGCGTGGGGAAGCTCATCTTGGCCGCCGCTCCTGAGCTGTCGCAACCTGACGCTCTCGGTCGCTACCCCTGACTCTGGGCGAGGGGTAGCTCCTCACGGCCACGCTTCTGCACCGTCCGTCGCAGCTGGACCTGGAATGAAACCTGGAATGTTAGGTCCATGAATCAAGGCAAATTGGAAGTGGTCAAACAGGAGATGGCAAGAGTGAATGCCGACATTCTAGGAATCAGGGAACTAAAATGGACTGGAATGGGTGAATTTAACTCAGATGACCATTATACCTACTACTGTGGGCAGGAATCCCTTAGAAGAAATGGAGTAGCCATCATGGTCAACAAAAAAGTCCGAAATGCAGTACTTGGATGCAATCTCAAAAATGACAGAATTATCTCTGCTTGTTTCTGAGGCAAACCATTCAATATCACGGTAATCCAAGTCTATACCCCAACCAGTAATGGTGAAGAAGCTGAAGTTGAACGGTTCCATGAAGACCTACAAGACCTTCTAGAACCAACATCCCAAAAAGATGTCCTTTTCATTATAGGGGACTGGAATGCAAAAGTAGGAAGTCAAGAGATACCTGGAATAACCAGCAAATTTGGCCTTGGAGTACAGAATGAAGCAGGGCAAAGGCTAATAGGGTTTTGCCAAGAGAATGCACTGGTCACAGCAAACACCCTCTTCCAACAACACAAGAGATGACTCTACACATGGACATCACCAGATGGTCAATACCGAAATCAGATTGATTATATTCTTTGCAGCCTAAGATGGAGAAGCTCTATACAGTCAGCAAAAACAAGACCAGGAGCTGACTGTGGCTCAGGTCATGAACTCCTTATTGCCAAATTCAGACTTAAACTGAAGAAAGTAGGGAAAACCACTAGACCATTCAGGTATGACCTAAATCAAATCCCTTACGATTATGCAGTGGAAGTGAGAAATAGATTCAGGGCATTAGATCTGATAGACAGAGTGCCTGAAGAACTATGCACAGGTGTTCCTGACATTGTACAGAAGGCAGGGATCAAGACCATCCCCAAGAAAAAGAAATGCAAAAAAGCAAAATGGCTGTCTGAGGAGGCCTTACAGATAGCTGTGAATATAAGTGAAAGGCAAAGGAGAAAAGGAAAGATATTCCCATTTGAATGCAGAGTTCCAAAGAATAGCCAGGAGAGATAAGAAAGCCTTCCTCAGCAATCAATGCAAAGAAATAGAGGAAAACAACAGAATGGGAAAGAGTAGAGATCTCTTGAAGAAAATTAGAGATATCAAGGGAAAATTTCAGGCAAAGATGGGTTCAATAAAGGACAGAAATGGTATTGTAGTTAGAATAGGGAAAAGGAGTGCAGAATGGCGGTGGCCAAAAGACCTGGAAGGGAAAAGCCCACGAAAATAGAACAAAGGAAGGTCTGAGGACCTGAGTGAGAACCTCAGGGAAAACAAACAACACTCCTGCCTAAGCCCAATTTGCATAGGACTGGCCCAGGGGGAAGAAAAAAACATAAAAAGAGGAGCCAAAGCCCTCTTCTCTCTCTCTCTCTAGCACGATGGGGCACTCTTTTCTTCCTGTCTTTGGATCGACGTGCCCTCACACCTCGAAGGTGGATTTTCCTGCTATCATCTAAATAAAATAGAGCTGTAACACTGAGCTGTAACACTGATTTATTTAAGAGC